GAAAAAAAACACACACACACACACACACACACACACACACACACACACATATATATATATATATATATATATATATATATATATATATATATATATATATATATATATATATATATATAATATATAATATATAATATATAATATATAATATATAATATATAATATATAATATATAATATATATAGGCATAGGCTAGCAAATGTGCATGCCATTTAATTAAGTTATGGTAAATAATAATATAACAGAAGCTGCAGATGATATATGTTCAGTTGCAAGAGGAGAGTATATAGTCAACCAATCAAATTGAGTTGCAATTAGTTTGTATCAAATTTTCCAGTATAACCAATATAGCTAATTTTCATAAATATCGAAGAATGAAAAATGCAAAAAAAATATTTTAATTATTTAAGACATTTTTCGACTATATACTGTATAATTATTATATCATAGGCATGCAGCCAAACAAATAATGTCGAATTATGACAATGATAAGCATGTCCATGAATCGCTCTCTTTATTACTTTAATCTATCCTTATATATATTGCTGCATATAGCTAATTCAGATAGCTAGTTCCAAAAATCTTTATCAATCATGAAAATATTTAAAAGTCTTAAAAAATTACGAAAATCTTTGGAAAAATCTCGTTCGACCTAACTTAAGTCACGACTTATTTTCTCTCGTATAAATCATCTTAATCACCAATGATTCTCTTGTTGTTATACCTTGTTATAAAGAAGGATAGTCAGCTTCTCCAATGTGGCTAGGTTGTCAAAATCATCCCACCACAAAGGAATTGTTCTGTTTACCAGACTGTCAAGAAGTTTTGCCTCTGATCCACCTTTGAAATGATATATAAATCGAATGCTTGAATACCAGAGTCAATTGTGATAATATAAATTAATGTTTATTGTAAATAGTAATTATAAAATATAGAGATTAATACATGGGTGCATATATATGAGCAGAAATACCAGATTTATTTCGAGTGTTGAACATGATATATCTCAAGAGTGAGGGCATGCAGTGAACGAGTGTTCAACACGAGAAATAAATTTGGCATTTTGATCGACCTAAATATGTAAAAACTGAATTGTTTAGCCACGTTCATGATGCACGACAACCTGTTGAATTTCCATTGCGTTTCCAAATCTAAAAGATTGCGCGTCGCGTTCTTTTAGACATCATGCACAAGAAAATTGGGCTAGTCTATATAGTATACTAAAACAATTGTATATAAGCAAAATAAGGCTATAAACTATCATATTTCAGACGATATGCATGTCACAAAAGGGCCATTTATACGCAACAAAATAAGACGCGGCTTACTTAGCTATAAGAGGTGATTGTGCATGCATGTAGTACCTATATGCTTATGTACCGAGGTACTGAACTATAAAAGTACCGAATTACTGAACATAAACTCGTATTTTGTAGTCGTACACTGCGACGTTTTTATTAAGGCTTTTAGGAGTCGTCTGGTATACTATATTCACATTGTATAGATCATTACTATATATACCTCCAATGGAATCTCGTTGATCAAATATAGCCATGGCAGCTTCGACTGCGGTTGATTTTCCTGAAACTGGATCACCAATGGCAAGCGTTGGTGGTACTCCACCGATAGAATTATGTAACAACTGAAAATGGAAGGACATTGCAACTCCACCAAGTATCAAAAGTGCAGCATAAATATCATTTTCGAAGAATGTCTCTAACTGCAGTAACAGTTCTGTTAAACTTTCTCCTTCATCCAAAAGACCTAGAATAATTTAATTCCAAATTTTGATATAAGAGAATTACAGGTATGGGAGTGATTTTTGCATGCAGACTGTTCCATCACAATTGATCTTTCACAACACAACAATTTCCATTTAACATCTTGCTGAAAAAACTGGTGAGAACATTGGTACATTAATCGTAATACATGACACACGAGTTACAAGATACACTCAGATTGCCTTATTGGCTAAGCTGTGACTGTAATACTGCATGCACTGGCAGTCTGAGTTCTTATATATTACACTTTTCATATATTAATGCTAATTATAATTAGTAATTTATAGTTACCAAAGAATGAATAATTGCACGGATATAGCACAATTGATACATGTAACTAACTAATAATAAATTATAAATAGACGTTGGTGAGAGCGTACATTTAATATGGCTTATTAGTGCATGCGAAACAAAACATGGAAATGAAATATTCAAGCCTTATATAAACTAAACAGTTTTCTTATTGTTTTTTTCTTTGCAACGGTTATAAAATATATAGCTATATACGCTTCATCCGCATTAAAATGAAATCTTTATTTCATCCGTTTATTGCATGTGCGTAAATATCTCTAATAAATTTATTTTAATTATATAAAATTATATATAGTTTGTTTCTAATATTATACCTTTATATGTGTAGGCTGAACAGGAATCACCTATTATTGCATAAGGTGAATCTGACTCTGGCAATCGAGTAATTGATGAATCTGGTTGCAATTGTAACTGCATTTCTTTCCCAAAGACCCAAACAGGTGGATTAGAATCCGGTTGCAGTCCAAAAACCTGAAAGATTGTGGGTGTACTATATAATTAAAATGGCATATATTGTACACAGTAGCTATACATCCAATGCATACATTCAAGCCTGGCATACTTTTGATATCAATGAAAACCGATAATCCGGGAAATCGTATCCTGTGAATAGATAATTGATGGCAACCGGTGTTAAGTACTTAATTCATACGGATTGACATTGATTCATCGATGACCAATTGATAGTCACAAAAAGTATATGGCCAATTTTATCGATTATTATCGATATTCATTTTCGCCGGCGATATTTATCGATTTGTAATTGACAAAATGCTTTCGATTTTTATCTATTTATATTCCTAAATATACGCCGCGTGTCGGCGGGTTCTAGCTAAATTGTGGATGTGTTCCCATAATTGTTATTGAATTCCTCGTTCGCTTGTTTATTTTGTTACTATACATTATTAATAAAGTAAAGATTTTTTCATCAATGAAAATCGATCGATAAAAAATCGATTAATAAATATAATTTGATTTGTATTTATACTATTGATACTCATCAATTATTGATTCCGCACGCCGAGATTTAAATTATTTGTCCTTTCATATCACTTTTTCAGTGTTTAGGGATGGACAATTATTTTTTGGAGGGGGGGTGGACATTTCGTCTGTTTTTGGTGTTGACTTTTTCTTGTTTCAAACAATTTTTTTGCACCTGCAGGCTGCACAATTTTTTTGCATCTGGTCAGGAGCTTTTTTAAGGATTTTCCTCGGGGGGGGGGGGGGATTTTCTGAAAAGGGACCATTCTGTGAGATAATATATTGGAGGGGGATAGGAATGACTGAAGGCCACCTAGCGAGGGTTACAGCTATAAGAACGTCTGTGAGGGAGAATACCTGTGTGGCAATACCATTCATGAATTGGGGTTACTTTTGAAATTTCAGGCCAGGCAATGACACTTCCAGCATTCTGAGCATTTAAATTTGCTCTAAAGTTTATGCTAATTAAAGACGGGTTACAGTCCGTGCTGCGCATGTGCGATTCTTTTTGTTTTGGTAGACTACTTATCTCTCGTTTCCATGGTTTCCAGTCCGATTGCGTAATATACGCGCAATTCTATATTTGTTGATACAAGGAGTGGGAATACACAGTTTCGAAGAGATTTTCAACGATTTGTGACTTTTATGAAGTGAAATCCGATTAATAACAAATCATTGAAACAATATGAGAAGAAGGAAAGAATATTACG